AGTAACGTTCATAGCTTGATAAGGCAAGTAGCCAAGTTTCAACGATGTAAAGTGTACTGTCAAAAAAGTGAAAAAAGATGCAGAAAGATTGAGGATTGGCTAAATTTCCAGCATAAGAAGATCCTCCTATGTCGGGAAGATAAAAAAAAGGTAAATCGATACCTGTTACAATGATTGAAACGATTAAAAGGCAGACAATAGTAAAAGTAAAGAGACGATGTGTAGGTTGTTTACGTTGGTAACGAAAATAATGAGTCAGAAGACCAGCATTGCAAATGAAAGATGAAATGTTCATAAGAACAAAACTATAGAAGAATACTTTGTTTTCTATCTCAACTATGGAAAGCTGGGACGATGAGTCAATTGACGAGTGATTGCTAGTGATATTTAATGTCATAATAGACATGTTTGAAACTTCACTTCCAGTGGCTGTTGAGAGAATATTTTGTAACTTCTAAAAAGTGACTCTTATATATATATATTCGATGCACTTTTATTTTTCTGATAATAGAAAAAGGTTATCTGTTTAAATTCTAATATTTCATGCTTTTTTTTCAAATGAAAAGCTATTTTCTCTACTAATTATTTCACTTAAAAAGAAATGTCAAAACAACCCCGCATATTTTGTTCAGGATAAAAGCCACGGATGGTTCATGATGACAAAAAAAACGGTCGAAGAGTGATATTCTGTTTCTTCTTATGGATTCTGAATGTGAGTGTGCACATGAGTGTCGGTATAGATCAAGAGAACATCAACACCTGCAAGGGCACCTCATACTCATAGCGGAGCTCGGACGAGTACCAAGAACTAGTTTTGAAGGACAAGAACTCGGAAACTTTTTGTAAAAGGGCATTTTTTTTTATGACATTTTCATCAATTACCTTTCCTCTTTTAAGAGATTCTGTGTCTCGCAAATGCTTTTCACTAAAATAATCAAAGCAAAAGAATTTCTTGCAATCTAAAATAGAAAGCTTTAATTTTTAATATGTCATGTTCTTATTGACATGAAAAGCGATTTGTTCCATTAATTATTTCACTCCAAAAGCAAGGCAATCTTGAAGACTCTATTCAGAATGGGAGCCGTCGGTGGCTCAAGATAAAATGAAAATGATGGAAGAAAGATTTTCTATGTCTGTTTTTATCGATTCTGTGTCCCGTAAGTGCTTCTCATTAAAACAATCGAAGCAAAAGAGTTTGTCGCAATTCAATTAGAAAACTTTACTTCTACAAGATTCCACGTTTTAGTTTCATTCTTTTTATTACCGTAAACAATTTATGTTTATAAAATTATCTTTTGATTTCAAAACAAAAATCTTTAAGTCTTTTTTTCATCAATTTCTTAACATAAATTCTATGATTAAATCTTATAGAATAATGATTACAATGAATGTTAGAAAACTTAGAAGTTTTTTTTAAGTAATACTGTACCTCAAAATTGTTTTACATGTCAAAAACATACGTAGAATTGCATTAAAGGAACCTTGGGGTTTGTAGTAAATTGATTTAACTAAGTCTTTTGATTAACTGGCTTCTTTCTCAAGAACATAGGTTCACCAATCATACGCTCGAATCTAATCTGATCCCAGTAACCGGATCTTACAAAACTCGATACCCATGTTAAAATGAACATTAGATATAATAAAAAGGAACCCTGGTGGATATATATATAGAATATATGTATATATGTATGGATGAGGCTAAAGATAAAATTTCATAAGAATTCGTAAGGGTGTGAATGTGAGTGTATTTTATTAATCTTATTCTTACTCACATCCTCACTAGCATTCACCCTGATGCACAGTCATACCCTCGAAATTGATCAAGTTAAATCTTTTAATCATCACTATCAGTAACATTGGTAATAAATACATGCATCTTATTGAATATATTATCTCATATATAAACACTGTTTTATGCTATCTTAGATATGTATATTGAATACGTCGAAACAAGATGTATTTTTTACCATAACTGTTTAAATATATATTAGTGTTCCATTTACTTCTTTTTGGCATCATTAGCAGCTGATTGTGTTTTTTGTACTTTCCTATGCAATTCTTTTGATTTCCCTATACGACATAAGACGTCTTTAAACAACATACTTACGATACTATTATTCCTTACTTTTCTTTTGCTTCTTTTTCTTCTTATCATCCTTTTTATAACGTCTATATTTAGTTTAGTTTTTTTAATTTCATATTGTCAATCTTAATATATTGAGGCAATAAAAATGGATTTTGTAAAAAGATTATTATCATCAAGCTTCGTAGTGTAAGAAAATTGAGAGAAAAAGAGAGTACAAATGTATAAATACCTTAATGTTTCGCTTGTTGTCGTATACACGAGCTGAAAAAATACATTAAAAGACAATCAAATAAAAGGTGCGGACTACTTTCTTTATTTTCAGTTGAGTTGTAAAATCAACTGATTCATATTGGGAAAACTTTAATATATATAAACCAACTTTGTAGAAAATTTCGTTTTGAACAACCATAAGATTTGTCAGTAGAAGTATATCTGATTATACAATATATATTCTCATGTACATTGGATAAAAGTAAACATTGTAATACTTATCGAAATTTAACAGGTGTGTTAGACTGAATGGTCGCATTTTGTATTCTAGTTTTCACCGACTCAGTATATTCTATTTAAAAAAACAGAATAAACCACAAAATCTAGTGTGAAAATCTGTACCATTTGCATAAGATAAATCTTCCTATAGTTGCACTGTTTGTTTAGAATACTAACAAAACTCGAAGAAACATAATGAACTGGATTAGAAGTAAATGCATTTCTCTTTTACTTCTCGTTAACAGAAAGTCCTTATTTACATACCAAAACATAGAGAATTTCAAGCTCTGTAAAGGTGATTATTTTGGTACTTTCAATAAATGTTTGTAAGTAGTACAAATTGTAAAAGATTTATTAGCTTATGAATTATCCAATTGTGACGATAAAAAACTGAAAAATGGTGAACATTATTTTATAATATGTGCTCTGAAACTTAAGACATCCAGGAATCAGAGTTACCAAACTTGCTGATTTGACCAGGGGACTCCTCACTTTCAGACTTTTCTCCTGAGCTCAGAATCTAGTTTTTAAGAATTCCTCCAGATTTTGTATTCTTTTCTTATTTCAACCTTGACAACGTTTATTACATAAAGAATGAGAAAAAGCGTACTGTTATAATTAGATATATATGATGGGAATTTAGATACCGCTACACCAGCATCACATTCAACTTTTATTATGATTTCAAAAGATTAAAACGAATCGTAGAAAGTTTGATCATATAACAGGATTTTATTTTTTGAAAAAATACAAGTTCTAATTTATACAAGCTTGATTTCATATTGAGTATTTAAGTACAAATTGGAAACCACTACTGAATCATTTCTATCGTTTGGAACAGATCTACCGTTGAATAACTCATCCGATGAAGATGAACGATATAAAGGCAAGTCAGTCGAAATGCGAACATTGCATTACAATCCAGATCATATCAATTTTTCTTTTTTTGTGTTTCTAGACTTTTTAAAATTACTTTAGTGTGAAAAAAAGAACTTTTCATAATAATTCTTGAAATACAACATATTCAAGCATCTTACGTAAAGCATTCTAAAAGTAGTGAGGGTGACTAGTTGTATTATTTCACACTTCTACTCTTATTCATATATATATTCATAGGTTGCAAGCTTTGTCTATATTAGATAGATTGTAGATGTGAAACAGAAGAATTTTCTAGCATATTGATGATAATAAAAGGGAGAAATGGTGTACAGGGTGCGTAAAAATGTTTTTCCAGGGAGGTAACTCTACACTAACAAACAGTAACCATAATGAATTTTATACCAAATGAAAGCGCGGAAAAAATGCGATTTTCTGATACTAAATTGTAAGGCTTTTGAAAACTATTTCGTAGACAACACAATTTATTTTCAGAGTTTCATGCTATTTCACTATGAAAAAGTTGATTGCTCGAAGCAGTTCAACGTGGATCTCACTGGAAGCGATCGTATGCATCGAAAGACTTTATTTTTCAAAACTTCTTATATTTGAAATCAGTAATCAGTGTGACGTCTATTGGCATTCCTCACCGCCTGAAGACGGAACGGATACGAACATAAGAGATTTTCGAATAGTTCTACATTTGATTCCATATTGGTCAGAACATCCACGAGGTGCTTTTCTAATGTCTCTTGCTTAAGACGATTCTCGTCGGTTTCCGACAATAGTTTTCGCTCAACTTCATCTTTAATTTTTGTCCCAATATGTACAGCGGCATTCAGATCAGGTGAATTGTCAGGCCATGTATCATTACCCCCAAAAAGTGATATCGTTGTCTTTAAGTAAATGTTGGGTCATATTTGCACGCATACATGGTGCTTTATCATGAACAAATGCCACCTGATTAAGATCGATTACATTTTCTTTGTCCTTAAGAAATGGAAACACGTGCTGCATCAGAATAACGTCACGGAAATACTGACCAGTCCAAGATTCTCCCTTCTCTTTCATTACTCAGTGCAGCTTTTTTACCGTAAAAATGATAAAGATACCAATGCGTGCTTGATTTTTTACCATTTCACGATATCTTTGATTGTCTTCGATATCTTCAGTACTTCTTGCCCAAACTCTATCATTTTGATAATTTGGCCTGCGAATAGTCCAAACATAAAATTCATCTGACGGTGCGAGATGAAAAAAATCCTCTTGAGCCCAGTCTCTTAGCCAATCGCAAAGCCATAATCGATTCGAAATATGAGTTTCGGTTTTTAAGGGTTTCGGAATAACATGAAATGGTTTCAGTCCTTCCCTATGACGATAATTATCGATTGTTTTTGATGTAACATGTTCTTTGTGTTTTGTAGCAATCCCTTTGACTAAAGCATAAGAACTTCTTTTTTGCTTGCCAGTTGCATCGCGAATGAGATCTTGACTGGCATCTGATAGTTTCAATTTTTGACCACATTGAGAATAATCATCCTACGATCTCTCCCACCATTCTGTGACAAATCGCGTACTACGAGAAATTTTTCCTACAATCCACTGTCGAGTAATAAATGTTGCGCTATCATCTCGAGCCGCACGAAAAGCGATACATTTAATTCTGTCGGAGATTCTTTGCTGCTTTGAGTCGTAGGTACCAGCCATTTTCACCTAATTAAACTAACTTCAGTCAGTAAGAGGATCGATTGTGTTTGTCTATCTATCTATCTTATATATCACGAAATGAATTTGTCTGCCGAGAGTCGTAAATTTTTTTATCCATAAACAGATAGAAAAGAAAAATACCATTTGACTAGTAAATCGAAACGTGCTCACAGAACGAAAAGATATTCAGTGAAGAATAGATAAAGAATACTGCTACACACTTTCTCCTATTTTGCTGGCATATCATTCTTCATATGCAAAAGCAGAACATCAAGGAATGAGAGAATGAGTAAGAATGATATCATCTTACGTGTCGAATTATATTAAATGATTCGCACAGTGGTACTTTAAAACGTTTGTGTGGCAAAAAAGCACATTTCTTATCTGAAAACTCAATATCGAGTGCGTAATTACAACGATTCTGTGCAAATTTTCAAAGCTAACCTATATTCGTTACAAAACAGTTTTCAAAAGCCTTACAATTTAGTATCAGAAAATCGCATTTTTTCCGCGCTTTCATTCAGTATAAGATTCATCATGGTTACTGTTTGTTAGTGTAGAGTTACCTCCCCGGAAAAACATTTTTACGCACCCTGTACATTATGTTATTCTTTCTCTTGCTTAATAATTATATTTAGAAATAACTTTGCTATATCCCAACCTCTGATCGAGTGATAAATACGTTATAAATATTATCTTTGTACTTGGATATTTTTATGTTAGTGAGTGACTGTGTTTTCTAAAGACTATATAAAGAAAGAAGAAAACACAGTAATGTGTGCGATTTTTCTTTAAGAAATAGAAGTATATTGGTATATATATATTATTCTTATATTGCTCTACACGGAGTCTCAAATCGTCACAATGATCAACCTCAAGCACCGTTATTTACACGGTCGGCTACTCCGCTGGTACCCACACGTCGACGACAATCGAAGCTATACCGCCGTCGTCATCATCAATCCATCAACATTCAAGTGAAGACAAAATAAAAGATGTGTTTTCCCTATCTTCTTTTTAATCATAATCCTCCTAGCATTATAAAACATCCACCTTTTGAAAACACCAACATAATGAGTGAACTCGGATATAAAAAAACATTACACTAAATTTCAAACCACACGATATTCCCACTAAACAATATTTTTTCCACTTTATGCCCTATACAACAGTATTTTCATTTTGATTTCTATCGATCTCTCCAAGATTATCTAAATCCACATTAACTTCACACTCTTCAAATGACTTGTAACACGGTACCGCACTTTGGCCTACTTCTCAATAAATTTATTAGAAAACTCTAGAATGCAAACAATAGAATATTCCTGAAACTATCAGATGGGTCATTTTAGCAAGGACGAAATGCGTCATAAGTTGCTTAGGAATATTTGATTCTTTTCTCTTACGGAAACTCACCCTACACCCACACCCTTATTTACCAGCTGATTTAAATGTCTATTTTTCTTATCATTATTAAATCGACACTATAAATTCCACTTTGATACGATTTTCAAATATATCGATTGGCATGTTGCCAGTTATACGAAATGGCATAGTTTTTCATTTGTCAGTCAATAAATAAGTTATTCTTCTATTCAAAATAATTCTTTTAATCAATCGGTTATTATTAATTGATTTTCGAAATCTGATCTACCACCTTACCTAGTACCTAGTACTGGCTCAATTCCTGAATTCCATCCGTCAGACAATACCCAAATCAAATGTTTATTTTTTGGTTAACTGTCGTTTTTCTTTTTTCTTTTTTCTATAACTAGCGTGTTTCCTATTTCTGTTCCTACTTCTCTTTCTTTTTTAATATGTTTTTGCTTCAAATTAATGCAGAGCCCTCATGAATGTTTAAACTTAAATAAATAACACGAAACGCGTC